TCATTCCTAGTTTTTTTTTTTGCTATCTTTCCTCAATCAAGTACCGCTCACTGAATTGCCATGCATAGCATATCCACTAGATTTATGATTTTATAGATGAAGATTTTTTTTTTTTTTTTTTTTTTTTTTTTTTTTTTTTTTTTTTTTTATAGATGAAGTATCTTGATCATGTAATATACAAACTAGGTAATCATTTAAAGGTGAATCTATAAATAACAAACTATGGTTTGACTTTTCACAAAATATATCAAGGACTATAAAGATCTGATTGTACTACTTTGAAACAATCCTCAAAACAACTTGTCGCCATTAACTCTGCTATAGGTAAATTTCATTCAGAATATAAATTACATATATGATTCATGAATTCAACGTTCACTCTCAAACCTTGTTTGGGAGATCAACTTCGATAGGATCAGTTGGTTCAGGTGCTCCGGTGCATGTTGATTTAACTGGTACAATTCCGGGATCACCATAAAAAATTCTGCAAACAGGTATAGCATGTTAGAGGGTGGCAGCTGGAATTTGGTCCTGGCTATCATGTAGTAATCATTATCTGTAAAACAAGCCTTGGAATCCTATTCAATGCTTTAGAGGAACATTTCAAGTCATGATATCAGGTACAACTATCACCAAGGTAAGCAAACTGATGAGCTCATCTACTATAAATTGAAATGGCATATATATCATAAACTTCTGTCAAATATGTATTTTAATACAAACTCAAGCTGTTTCAACTGAAACAATTACTACATCGTCATCATCTGTCATAGCCCAACTATTTAGATTCAGTATAAACAGAACAATATTGGCAAAAATGAATTGAAGTTAAAGGCAGCAGCTGGAAATGACAATCATAAATGCATGCACTTCCTCAGGCAGATGGATAATTTCTTCCAAAACTAAGTGACGACTAATAAATAAGCAAATATTCCATCATTTTTATAGGCCAGTAGTAGATCATGTCAAACAGATGTGATAGTGGGAAAATATAAGATGGAACTCACCTGTAAAGACCAATAAAGAGCAGAACACATTCCGTGTTCAGAGTCGCATCCAGTAAGTTTGGAATTGCTGCATGTCATGGTACCATGATATTTTGCTTCAGTCAGTTCAGTACATTAAGAATATACCACCATGCTCAGCATCAAGTAAAAGAATATGCCTCTACCAAAATCTATGGATTATAAATTTTATAAATTGAAATAAAAGTTAAATAGTCCATATCTATGGAGCATGTACATTTATAAATGAACGTTTAGCTTAAAGGACAGCCCATTTGGGTTGTCTCAATTTTTTTTTACTTTATAATTAAAAACTAAACACTTCTTAGACACCCCTTTGATAGCATCCACATGTGCTTAACACAAATCAGACATAATCCAAGTTACTCCAAGTCAAATATATCTTAAATGAATTTAATTTTATAGACACTAACATTTCCTCTAAATAGCTCATTTGGCGTTTCCTAAATTTTGAACTTGATTAACAGTCACACTCTTCCTCTATCATTTTTCCTCAATATAGTTGTCTCTTGCAGTGTTCCTAAGATTTATGCCAAACAATAAGAAAAAAAAATTCTCGTATATTATAGGGTATTTATGTGTCTGCGAGCATTAAATAATTTAGTAAATATTGAGTAGGTTTCAATCCTATGGATAAGAACATAATCTTCTACCTCTACTTTGGATTTTAATTGTGAACGCATCAAAGCAAAAAACAAAAACATAGATCTTGGTATGTAACATTTAAAACAAGTAGGGATAAAAATGTACGGGTCAAAAATACAAAATAAACCTGTTTTTAAACGAATTTTCCAATGTTCAAAATCAATAGACTGAATCTAATTAATTAGTGAAATACAAAATAAATGAATGCTGCTTGATTAATAAATTAAAACCTTTTTTTAAATGCTTTTTCCAATTTTCAAAATCATTAGACTGAATAAAATTAAGGTTTTGTTTGAGAAAGCTTTCTTACTGCTTTCTAAAGCAACTTTTTAGAATTAAATTTTTTTGAACACAAAATTGTTTTACTAGAAAATTCTTTTAAAAAAAGTAAGAAAGTTGTCCCAAACGAAGCCTAAGTAGTAAATGCATATAAAATTTATTTGAAGTGAGTAATTATAGGGTACCTTGGTTTATGCTTTTTGCTGATGATATTCTTCTTGTTGATAAGACTAGAGAGGGAGTTGAAGGTAAACTCGAATTATGGAGGCCAACTTTAGAGTCTAAAGGTTTTCACTTGAGTAGATCTAAAACTGATTATATGGAGTGTAAGTTTAGTAGCAATAGACCTAGTGATGGGATTGTGACTTTGGGCGATCAAGTCATTAATAAGAGTACACGTTTTAGATATCTTAGGTCTATTGCTCAGAGTGATGGTGAAATTGATGGGGATATTATCAGCATAATTCAAGTTGAATGGTTGAAGTGGAGGAATGCATCGGGCTTATTGTGCGATAGAAAAGTCCCCCTCAAACTTAAGGGAAAATTCTATAAGATGGTGGTGAGACCTGTAATGCTTTATGGTGCCGAATGTTGGCCATTAAAAGAGAAGCATAATACTAAATTAAGTGTTGCAGAGATGGGGATGCTTAGGTGGATGAGTGGCTTGACCCTTAGAGATAGGATACGAAATGAGCATATAAATGAAAAGGTTGGAGTAACTCCAGTGGAAGATAAGATTAGAGAGAGTCGTCTTAGATGGTTTGGTCACATTAAACGGAGGCCTTCCGTGACCCGATTAGAAAAGTTGAGGTATTAGATTTGACTAATGTTAAGAAATGTAGAGATAGACCTAAAAAGATTTTGTTAGAAAATATTAAAAATGATCTTTTTTTATTAGATTTAAATGAGAATTTGACATTTTACCGGACACAATGGCGAAAAAGGATTCATGTAGCCGACCCCACGTAGTGGGACAAAGGCTTGATGTTGTTGTTGAGTAATTATAATGTTCAATATTACGAATGTTGTGCCAAGCTATCTAGGCCTTTCATCAGTAAAACATTAAATTGTATAATTAAAAACCAAATGGCATTAAAATGTACTAAACTGTAGTTCCTAACAGAGCCCTGCATTGGATTCCCATACCCACACCCACCCATGTACCCATACCCAATGGGTATGGGGGTACGCCCATGACCTTTTGGGTGAGTACTCAACATCGGGGGATAAATCGATTTACATTGATAATCACTGTATATCTTATATTATTGCAATCCTCACAACATAGTGTGCATCACTTAACCACACTGCGCCTACGGTAAATTCTTATATGCGTCTTGAAAGTTTGCAATCATAGATTCAGAGCAAAGGGCAACAAGCCTCAAGGCCATCAATCTGTGGTAGAATGCATTCAAAAAGCATGGAAAGTTGGTGGGTATAGGTGGATATGGCATCCCGGAAGTCACCATAGGTGGGCGTGGGTGGGCGAAGCCCGTCCAAGTAAAGCATGGGTACCCAACCAGGACCCCATGTAGGGCTTTGGTTCCTAACAACATATAAGGATGCATTTCAAGATTAACAACCTTGATTAAACTTTGGGATCTTTGAATAATATATGTATATACATATATATTGATAAAGAAAGAGTAAAATTTTTCCATTTACAATCCATAGGAAAAAAGCCTCTATATATATTGTGCATCTTGTATATCTTATGAGTGCTATTTGGTAAGGACTTTGGAAGTTATTGCTAATGTCTTGGGTTTGATCCTCGCCTACTACACAAGCATATGAATGCACATACATGACCAAAAACTTTATTGTTCATGATCTTCTTAGATAGTATAAGAGATTCATAGCTCTATATTGATAAATGAAACAAAATGATTGGCAAAGTTGGCCATAGAATGTGGATTAAGGAGTTGTTTGATAGCCGGTTTTAAGCAAGAATTATCC